ATAAAGAATAAAACGTGTAAATTATTACAAAGATACAAGTTTTTTGTCATGTATTTATCCAGTTGTGATGGTGTTTGCCGGTAAACCAAATTAATCAATGCCTAACTGTCTTTAAGCTTTTTTCTATTTGTAGCGTCATGAAGGGCCTCTAATTTGTGACAAAGATAACATTTTCCCAGCTGGGTCAAGCTGGGTCGACTGTAACTTTGCCCCACAGATTAAACACGCAGCCATGATGTCTGCTGAAAATCATCTATCTGCTGCTGTTCCATCCCAGGCTGAAGGACACTTCAAGTTTCACAATAATAATTTTAAATAATAATTTTAATAAACTCTTGACTTTTATTACTGTTATTACAATCATCATAAATAATCTCTTAGTTCAGTAAATGTATTTTAATTACTGAAATGACTTATTATGCTTTGGGTTAATAATGATTATTGTGATGATTGGTTGTGTGTGTTCAGCAAACCAGAAGGTCACCTTGCACGTAACCAGCCTCATTCAGAAGGGATATCCAGGGTAAGGGTAACATCATCACATGTCTTTTACTCATGACCAAGCTTTCTGAGGCTGAGAGTGGGCGTGTTCTGAGAGTTTTGTTAAAACCGAATTCCAGCAGCAAAAGTTGACTTCTTGAACCATACGAGGAGACGAGGGAATGGCCACCTGAATCTCTACTAAGCATTCTGTCACAACAATAGAATTGCCCTGAATAAACACACCTGTAGCCAGCTGACGCAAAACTCCTTCAGAGTTAAGCCAGACACTCGACACAGTGTAACCGCGACATCTCTAGACCAGAGGATCGGTTCTACTCGAGTCTTCCCCACCGGACCGAGTACCCTGAGGCTGACAACATCCTCCTTGACCTCCGGATCCACACAGAGGGTTGTCTTGCTGGGTGAGGTAGCACACAAGATGGTGTTTGATGCTGTTCTTCTTAAGAAACGACTCAGTTAGCTGCAAAACCATCATTTCCAACCCAGAACGTGCTTCTCTCGCTGAAAGAAACCTTCTGAGAACATTCACGCATCCATAACTCTCATTTCCATTTTAGCTTTCATTCAGTCACAGGTTTGCCTTTAAAACAAGTTTAATATCAAATTGTCTGTTCAAAAATTGCCATTTCTGAATTGTCATTTTTAAAAGTGTTAGTAATAAATTCTTAACTTTAAAAACTCGACTCTCTTCTTGAAATTTAACACAGACCGGTGTGTATTTCTGGTTATTGAAAAAGCAAAGATTCCTTTAACTTCTGATTAAATAAATAAACTTTTGCTATTAAATTTAATTATCTTAAATTAAACATTAATCTTTGGAGTAAAATTAGACCAAGCTCGTTGGCATATGAACTTCTATCGAATATATAATAACCTAGATATTTGGCGTCTGGGGTCTGACGTGGAGGGTGGCTGACCAAGCGTTTGTTTTTGACGCGCTGGGAGTGAGAATGTGTTGTGATAAGTGTTTATGGAGAATAATGAAACTTTATGAAACATTCTGTCTTAATTTGTTGAGTCAAGTGGGTTTTGTGGCTCTCTGTGGAATGAGATGTTAAAATGAGCTCTTAATGTTGCAGACCTCTATACCAAACATATCACGCTGAATTTCCCATCTTCAGTTGCACACGCTGAGTGATTACAGTGTTCTTCATATGCATGCAGAGAAACAGGAATGTGCAATTTTTATGTCAGCAGCAAAAAAAAAAGTTACTCATAGAAGACGCATTATTGTCTGGTTGGATGTTTCGGGATTGAGCAGCTAACCATATATCTCTTCAGGCCGTAAAGGGGGAATGGCTCCTTCTGGTGATTTAACCTTCAAATCTTTTAGGAATCAAAATGCTTTGCCCTATATTATGGTCTGTTTTAATCTGAGTGTGTCTATCTTTTTTTTTTCCACTTTAAAGAAATGACTTGCTTCAGATGTCACATTTCGTCACTGATGTTGACTATTCAAATGAGGCAGCAGAAACCCTCGCTCGGGGAAGGAGAGCAAAAAAAGGGTCTGAGCTGCATCAGTCAGTGGAACCGTTTCCACAGGTGGCTGGCTGTTGTAAGACTTTCATGCCACCCAGATGGAAAAATACATGTTATTCCAGTTGAGATTCACTCATGTGTGATGCCAACCAGAGCAGAATATTGTCACCAAAGCCAAAACCCACTGCTGCTCTTTTCTGGACATTCACCATCTCTTCGGCCATGGATTTTACTTTGACGTCATGAAGATATTTTAGCTACGTTTGAAGATGAATGCAAAGCCAGAAGAGGCTTTCTCAAAATGTCACATCCTATCATTTTATACTGTATCCAACAACTCACCGTGGACTGCATGACTGACTAAATTAGGTAAAATGTCATCGCAACTGCCAGCAAATGTACGTTATGTTTATAAACCTCTTTATGGCAGTCACAGTGAAGCCTGATAATAGAGATCTGTCCAATTTCAGAGCTGTAAACGGCACAGGAAAGGGTGACACAGACGGGGAGTTAGAATCCCAGTTGGCTTGGTGGTCCTTTCACTTTGGTCCAATATGGACGGGTGATGCCAAAGTGCAGTAATGCACCGAAGGATTGGCAAAAAGCAGATGGAGGATAACAAAAAGTTCATGTTTCATAACGACTAATTATGGCTTTTGGCTCTAAAATCCTGGAGGTATTCTAAGATTCCACCTTTTTTTAACTTAAAAGACAGATTTATTCATTTAATTTCGCCGTGTTCTCCGAAGTGACATTTAAAAGCCATTTCAAAGGAATCTTCAGAGATTAATTTACTTATCTAGCACTGACAGGACTGCTTTCATTACACCCTGAGAAGCAGATGAAAATACTTTTAGAAGCAAGGCAAAGACCGCGAGGGGGAAGAAGACAACTTCAAATAAGCAAGAGTTTAAAGAAAACACCCAAACATGTCTCTCTAGTATGCAAAATCCTCATCTTGGTTTTATGTTGACTGTAACGCTAAATTTGGTGTTTATTTAATACAAAACCATAACTTTGGTCATTAATTAGGATCTAATATTGTAATTAAATAATCGTGAAATTAATATTTTATAGAGAAGGTGCTTGATGATTGATTTAAGTTTGTCCTGTAGATGGCGCCAAAGCAGCTACAGTAGTCACCTCATTAGATCAATAAAAAAAAGAATTTGGCTTAGAAAATATGTAAAATAAGAGGAAATGGCATTAAAATGTATTTATCAAAACACGTATGTAAATATCAGATAAGCAGAAATGTAGTCTGAATAGTTTTCTTTCTGTAAATGTAGATTTTTTTTCTCTCTTGCTGCCAAAACATGAACATTGGGTGATAATGTTTTGTCTTGTGTTTGAAAAATTGATTACTGGATGTTTTTCAATAAAATTTCTGAAAATATTAAACGTGCACGGGTAAATCGGCTATTTTTTGGAATCTGTCCAAACCAGGACAACAGCCACAGCTTCAACATCTAAGAAAAGAAAAAAATGGTTGTAAATCAGATTGATTTAGAGATATAGAGATCAAATTTGGTGTGAAAGTAGCTCAAAATCCTCAGTTCATTTCATTCTGTTTATCTTTTTATTCAGATAAACAAAATTCTACTCAAAATTAAAATTCCCTCCAAGTTTGGGCAAAAACAATTTATATTTAATTCTTGATCGTTTTAATATTTTTGTTCTTTTTTTCATGTTTTAGATTCTTTTAATCCCAAATTTATAAAAGCTCATCAAACTAAAGCTCGGGCACCAGGAAGGTAAAGCGCGGGCTTTAGTTGTTGGAGTCAGCATTATATAACTGTCAGCAAAATATCTCATGAACCACAGGATGGATTTTAATTAAACCCATATAAAATAATCATTGGATGGGATGTAAAGGTACATCTACCTCTGATTAGTTGTTGAAAGCAACTCCACTGAGGACAGCTAATAGAAAACACCAACATTGGTTAGAATCAACACAGATGAGCTACGTTTTAAGCTGAGAGTCATTCACAGCACACACTCAGTGCAGATGTGTGTTACATTCAGAATCTGACCAAAACTAAAACTTCAACATTTCCCAAACTTAGTTTAAATCTCATTATTTTAATAATAGTGGAACTTTAATTAGAATAAAAGCAAATAACAGAAATAAAGACTTTAAAAATTACAAAGACTGCTTTGTATCCACATGTCTTATTAGAGATCGACTGTTAGGGGTGTCCTTGTTTGTTTGAGGAATATTTCATTTTCCCTCTTCTTTAAAGAGCATGTCACCCCCAAATAAACTTTTTTTTGCTGATAAACTAAATAAACGAGTGTCTGATCGTGCTGCAGACACGTGTCGTCAATAATTTGGCACTTCAGTGCATCTTAGTTAAAATTTAAATATTCTGCCTAAAACTGGCAGTGCTGTGCCGTTGTCAGGTAAAAACTCTGCACTGTATTTGAATTTAAATCTGCCACCGCTATTGGCTAAGAGGTATGCTATGATGTAAACTGGTACATTATGATGTCACAATGCTGTGTGTGTGTGTGTGTGTGTGTGTGTGTGTGTGTGTGTGTGTTTGTTAACGGCTCCGCCCTCTCGGTCTGCCAGGCAACAGCATTTGTTGCATTTTTCAAACATGAAGTGGGAGTGAAGTACACTTCTTGTAAGGGGTGACTTGCTCTTTAAGGACTAATCAAAGTTGTTTCTTATAAATTGTGTTGCTAGGTAACAATATAATTGCCCAGCTTTTAGAGCTTGTCAGCTCATGATTCATTTACAAATCTTAGAATATTTTTGTCACTTTCAAACTGAGGGTGAAACACGCCATCAGGACAGTTTCATCAATCTCCAGCTTGACTTTTTCTATTGATTAGCTATGGCAGAATAGAATAAAATTACATAGATATTCTCATTTTGCATAGGGGCCCGTGGAACTGCCTGCAGGATCCCCTGAGGCAGTTCAGACACCCTATTTGGAAATCACTTACTGTTTTAAAAACTTGTTGCTATGGAAAAAAAAATCATCTTGCCGCAGTGTGAGCTGAAAACCAACTCAGACATGTTTTTATTTTGAAGTCAAAAGGAGGATCTCATGTATGAACAAGGTCTCTCCTCCTACAGAGGAAAGGATCGCGAGCAGACAGATGTGCGGAGAGGTGGTGACTGGAAAAGGTTCGTTAAAGCCAGGGATCTCTTGAATTCCAATGCTGCTCTCCCTCTCCCTCTCTCTCTCCCTCCTTCCTTTTCCTCCCTCCCAGCATCCAGCAGCTGCGCCTCTCCTGCCTTCCCCGACGCCGAGCCGAGCCTCCCATACAGATGAGAAGCCACGCACCTCTTGACGTTGCCACGGACCGACCGGTTGCGGTGCCACGCGTAAAGCACATATTGCAACGTGACTGATTGCTGAACTGTCACCGCGGCAGAATGAAGAAAGTGGTCTGAGCATCTCCGAGGAGCTGCAGAGCAAAACGTATTTGATTATTTTTTTCTTCCTTTTGGTTATTCTTTCATTTCTCCATCCTTCCACCACCGGACTGGACCCTCCCCTTGTCATCGCCACCGGGAGAGAGGAGTCTTGCGTCGGTCGTGATGTGACTGAGTGAGCGCTCTCTCCTCCGACGGCCTTCATCCGTGCAAAAGGTGGACTAGACAGCTCCGCAGAGAGGGGGTGATGGTGTAGCTTCGTCTGGCGGCATCTCCAAGCACCTCAGCTGGATTAGATCCGGAGCTATGGCGCCTCGGCGACGGAACTCGCGGGCCCATTCGCGTTGGTACCTCCAGGGGTTTTGGTCAACTTGAAAAAGAACACATAAGAGGCTGTCGGAGGAGCGCACCTCCCTGGAGACGAGGGGAGGTTTTAATCATAAAAGCCTATAGAGGATTTTATTAAATAAAAAATTAAAATAAAAGGCCGGCCTCTCTGCAGATCGCTCCTGCCTGCCTCTCATCCTCCGCATCTTCGCACCAAATTCCACGTTTGGTGCCAACACGCAGGCTAATTTCTCCCCAAATTGGTCCTAGTCGGAGAAAGTGGCGCGTCCGTGCACCTCGCCGCCCCGGAAAGGACTTCTTCCCTCTGAGAGCTGGATATGCAGAGATTAACGTGAAAGGATGGATCTAATTCTCGCGTTTTGGGGGCTACTGGCGCTGATTGTTGAAGGCGTACGTTGCCAAGGAGTGTACGGTAAGTCAACTCAACGGAGAGAGCTCCGGAAGCCATGTGATGACCTTGTAAGACAGCAGACTTGGAATAGGAATCCGGTTCTCCATTGAGCCACGCGCCACAGACGCGCGGTTGGGGTTGACGCGCCAGATCTGAGAGCCATATTGGTGGTGGTGGTGGTGGTGGTGGTGGTGGGTGGGTGGGTGGGGGGGATGTAACCCTCAGTTTATATAGCAAACCGAGTGTGTAGCCAATCATGCACGGCCCCTCTTTCATCCAATCCGTCACTCTGTATGGTTGGTGAGCAGGCTAAATTTATAGGCATCATATAAGGATGATTACAGTAGAACCTGGTAGATCTTCCCCACAGTCTCCAACCTGGACTATAGCTACAGTGACATTTTCTAGAATCTGTTGGACTGTGGCTTTTAGTATGCAGTCAGAGATGACTTTCTGTGTTGCCTCCCTTTAATGTCTAATTTTAGAATGGAGATTTTGAGAAAGTAGCACCCTTGAACCTTTAAACCATGTCAAATAATGTGAGCTTTGAGGTGCTAAATGATATATCAGTACGCTACACATATCAAAATGTCCACAAACACATTTTTTCTTGCTCTCCAGCTTTTCTAGATCACTTAACACCTTTTTTTATAAGCTTTCATCTGTTGCTGCTTGAATTCCACCACTGTCTGACTGCAACCAGTGGCAAAAAGGTGACATGTTATATGAATCGTCATTATCGCAGCTGCAGCAGCATCAGTGGCAGCTGTAAGAGAATTATGAGGACAAAATGATTCATGTGTACAAGGAGAGTAGGACTCAGAGGAAACCTTGTGATCTGTCAGCAGCAGCAGCTCTGACCAAACCAAAAGGCCAGAGAGAGAGAGAGAGAGAGAGAGAGAGGGTGAGGTCAGTGGTGATGTGGTTTTGCGTGTTGCCATGCACTAAGACCTTTTACGAGTGTGAGTTATAATGAAGGTTAATGTGAGCATGACAGGAGCCGTCATGGTACTGAGGCCTAGTCCACACGTAGCCGGGGTTTTTGAAAACGAATATCCGCCCCTCCAAAAACTTGCATCCACACCACCTCGTTTTAAAAACAAACTCTGTCCACACGTACCCGGATAAATACGTTGTTAAGGACATGCCAGACCTGTAGGTGGCAGTACTTCCCCCGTTCTTAACCTCGTCCTTTGTCTGTGGTCTTCCGCAAGGAGCAGTAATTCCGATTGCAAAAACAAACAAGCAGAAAGCGCTTGGACAATTGATAAAGTGAGCGCAGCTCTGAGGGCTTCCATGATGCCGGCTAGTGTAAACACAGGTCGCACACGTGATGTCAGCAGAAAGTGACGTTGTGGACCTTAAAACTCCGGTTTTGTCTGTCCACACGCAGACACCCAAAACGGAGAAAACGCAGATCTTCACTTTGGCCGGAGTTTTTAAAAAGATCCGTTTTCGTGTGAAAAAACTCCGTTTTCGTGTGGATGACAGGCCAAAACGTAGAAAAATATCTACGTTTTGGCAGATCCCCGGCTACGTGTGGACAGGGCCTGAATCTAACCAATGGTGCACCAGGATATTATCTTCTAGAAGCAGGAACATCAGAGAACACAACTGATGCTAGTGCTTTCCATCCACTTTTTGATTCATGCATGCGTTTTCTCTTTCTACCTCACACAACAGCACATAAAAAGGCACTTTGTCAATGAACCAATCAGGTTGTTGATATTTTTCAGATATCAATGTCTCCCAATGAAATAAATGTGTGCAGACAACACACAACCAGTGGAAAACTACAATAATTTAAACTTAATTCACTTCGGTTCATCATAATTCTTAATATCCGTTGCACTCCAACAAAAGTCCAACTTTGCATGCTTTTACGTTGATACTTGAAAATATGACTTAATTGTGCAAATGTAGAAACATTTCAGACCCGTTTGTACAGTTGTGGGGCTCTTGCTCATTGTAGATTTCAAAATAAGCAGAAGAAGAAGAAAAAAAATCTTTTCTATAGCGCCTCAAGATAAAAATCACGAGGCACTTCACAAAAACAAAAAATGTAAAAATATCAAAAAGAATTTACAAAATGGTTACAAAATATATTTAAAATGTGCAAAAAATAGACAATTGTGATTAAAACATGTTAAGAAAGAGAGAGAGTGAATAGGAAAGAGGGAAATCAGTGGATCCTGAGGAAGGTGGAATAGGTGGGGAGGGCAGAATAAAGAGAGAGAGGTGAAGAAGGTCATACAAAAGCCAGCTTGAACAAGTGAGTCTTCAGCTGCTTTTTAAAGGAGTCCACTGATCTCAGGCTCAGGGGGAGAGAGTTCCAGCGTCTGGGGGCCACAGCAGCAAATGATCTGTCACCTTTGGTCTTTAGCCTGGTGCTGCACAACCGGTAGGCTTTGATCACTGGACCTCAGGGACCTGCTGGGGGTGTAGGGACTAAGAAGATCACCAATGTAAGATGGTGCTTGTCCATGTAGGGCCCTATAGACCAGAACCAGGGGTCTCATTTATCAATCATTGCATAAAATCTTTACTAAAACCGTACTTAAGCCCAGCAAAAAAAAAGTACTTATGCCAAGTAGGTTTGTGATCTATCAAACATGGAGTACGCACAGCTGGACGCAATCTCTGCTTCACAAATCAGAAACTATCTACAAATGTTCTCAGCTGCTTTTTACTCACATCCCGCCCTCACCACGCCCACTTACTGCCAATGCAAAGTGCCTTGTGGATCTCATGCATATACATAAGCCGGCTTGTTGCAGCATTTCGATCACGACCGCAGATCAAGGAAGCGCTATTTAACAAGCAGAAATTGAGGTACTTGTGGGTGAGGTGGAGAAATGAAAGGAAGTGCTTTTGCAAAACAAATAAAAGAAAATCCGGAGTGGCACAGCGTTGCTGAAGCCGTCAATGCTGAGTTATTCAGAGAGATCTGTGGCAGATATAAAAAAAAAAAGATCCGATAAGGATTCGATCCCCAGACTCCCGAGAGAAAGTCACGAGCGCTAACCAGTCAGCCAAACGGAGATCTCCCTCGTCCAAGTAGACAGGGCACATGATTAATCAGGTCACAGTGACAGGACACACACTGTCACAGACGCATGACATTCTGTCTCAATCCTTCCCCCTGCTGATAATCTGCATTTCGTATTCTGCGCTTCAGGCTGTATGTGTGTGTGTGTGCGCGTGTGTGTGCATGTGGTGGGGTCTTGTTCTGTGTGAAAACGAAGCAATACAAGTGATAATGCTGCAGGATTTCATAATTTTATCCTTCTCAGCAGCAGCGCTGCAGGTGCTCTCCATGTCCAAAAGGCGCGTAAACCAGGTCCTTAGTCAACTTAAAGTTGAGCACATTTTTCCGCTAAGTATTCTTTGATGAATCCCAAAGTTTGCGTGGAAAGTTGCTTACACAGTTTTCCGACCCTGTCTTGTGCGTAAGCAAGCTTGATAAATGAGGCCCCCGGATCTTGAAATGAACCTTGATGTTGACTGGCGGCCAGTGAAGCTGTAGGAGAAGCGGGGTGATGTGGGTGTGTTTGGAGGACTTGGTCAGAAGCCGAGCACAGGCGTTCTGAACCACCTGTAGACTAGTGATGTTTCGGTCGCGAATGAACCGGCTCTAAGATTCTTTATGATCTTTTTCTCTGAATTGCTCAGCTTTACACTTTGATCGAGCCCCCATAAATCTTTTTGATGTGAAAATAAAAGGTTTAGGTAGAAAAGTTGGCATATATATATATATATATGTATATATATGTGTGTGTGTGTAATCTATAGTGTTAAAGTAGTCACAGAGATATCACAGGACGTTGCTTCAAACCTCAAATTAAGATAGGAGCAATGGAGGTGTTAGCCACCAAACTGCAAATAAAATGAGAAATAATGAAATAATTTATGACTAAATTGCTACAAATAACATCCATGTGGATTGCAATTTATCCACACTATTGAATTGTATGACGCAAATGAAAAAAAGCTGGCCTTCGGTCTATGCTTACCCAACACAGCCAGCCCAAGGAGCATCACGAACATCCCGATGGATAGTGACATCACAACAAGTTTCTTTGGATGTTCCATCTATAGTTGATATTTGTAGAGATCATTAGCCCCACTTGATTCTATATTCATTTATACTAAATCAGGCCCTGTCTACACATAGCCGGGGATCTGCCAAAACGTAGATATTTTTCTACGTTTTGGCCTGTCATCCACACGAAAACGGATCTTTTTAAAAACTCCGGCCAAAGTGAAGATCTGCGTTTTCTCCGTTTTTTGGTGTCTGCGTGTGGACAGACAAAACCGGAGTTTTAAGGTCCGCAACGTCACTTTCCGCGACAAAAAAATGCTGACATCACGTGTGCGACCTGTGTTTACACTAGCCGACAGCATGGACGTGCTCAGAGCTGCGTTCGCTTTATCAATTGTCCAAGCGCTTTTTGCTTGTTTGTTTTTGCAAGCGGAATTACTGCTCCTTGCGGAAGACCACAGACGAAGGACGAGGTTAAGAACGGGGGAAGTACTGCCGCCTACAGGTCTGGCATGTCCGTAACAACGTATTTATCCGGGTACGTGTGGACAGAGGTTTTTTTTTTTTAAAACGAGGTGGTGTGGATGCAAGTTTTTGGAGGGGCGGATATTCGTTTAAAAAAAACGGCTACGTGTGGACTAGGCCTTAGTCTCAATGTGCACTGCACACATCCAGGCCCAGCTGACACGCGACTAACCATCCACATGAGCATCAGATCAAAGCCGTTGATCCTCGGTGTAAGCAAACTGTCCATGCTTCAGGGTGTGTGTGTGCAGACGAAGATGCAGACTGATTAAAAGCAATCACAGCCTCTAATGCTTGGCGTGGTGTTGCCAGAGTGGTACGTGTAGACTAGCGGGCTTGTAGCAGCAGAAGCAGAAGGGGACAGTGGAGGCGAATGGGGGGGAGGGGGTGGACACACGCAGATGGAGCTGTTTGGGTATTCAACTCAGTGTTTGCGTGTACATGGTGCAACCTG